GGGTAGTGTCATCAGCATAGCAGACGACATTTCCTCCAAAATTTGGAATGAGGTCATTGGTCATGATAATGAACAAAAGGGGGCCAAGTACAGACCCCTGTGGGACACCATGAGTGATCTGACAAGGGCTAGAGATATGTCCATTTATGAGCACCCTCTGCTCACGCCCAGCCAGGTATGACTCCATGAGCCTGAGTTCAGAGCCCTTTACTCCATAAAAATTCAATTTATCCAGCAGTATCCGATGGTCGACCGTGTCGAAGGCCTTACTGAGATCACACAGGGTGGCCCCAGTAAAGCCTCCAGCCTCAAATCCATGCAGTACTACTGCTTCAAGCTTATCTAGAGCATCTATGGTCGAGAGACCCGCCCTGAAGCCACACTGGCCGGTCATGAGCAGATTGTGCTCTTCGAAATATTTGTACAACTGATCCTTAATTACAGATTCAAATATTTTTGAAAATACTGGGAGTAGGGAAATAGGGCGGAAATTCTCAGGACTGTTTGGATCACCTTTCTTATGGATAGGTATAACTTTGGCTATCTTTAGTCTTTGGGGAAAGACTCCTTCAGAGAGACATAGGTTCAGGCAATAGGTAAAAGGCTTAACAATGCTAGGAAACACACTCTTAATAAGATTGACAGATACCTCAAATATATCTTTGCTTGGAGAGTTGTTGAGCTTCTGGACCACCCGTATCACACTTTCACAGGATAAAAGGGTAATGTTGAACCGTGAGGCTGCAGGGTCACGTTTCTCCAGCATATCTAGGGCAGAAGTGGCTGAACCGTTGATAGCATCTCTGGTCTGCTGGACGGAGTCAATAAAATGGGCGTTGAAAGCTTCCGCAGTCACTGAAGATATCAACTGGGATTTGGACGGAGCACCTTCTTCATGGATAACTTTCCAGGCTGCTGCACAGCAATTACTGGCAGATTCTATGAAGCGAGCATTTCTTTCCAGTCTAGCTGATAGAAGTTTTTGTTTGTACTGCTTCTTAATAGTTTTGTAGCGTAGCTCTGAATCGGGTGTTTTATTGTCCCTGTAGAGATCATAGGCTAGGAGCACCCACTTCTTCCACGTTACTAGGGATTGGTCCTTCCAGTCCGGAAGATTTTGATTTTTCTTGGAGCGTTTTGTAGGCAGTAACCTTGTGGGAAAGCATTCATTAAACATAAGAAGGAAATTTTGAAAAAAACAATTGAAGGTATCTTCAGCCGCACCAGTATTATAAAGGAAGTCCCAGTTTGTGTTATCTAGGCGATATATAAAATTATTTATCTTGTCTGTTGAAATAGGCCTACATACTCTTCGACCAGAACCATCAGGTACTGCACTTAATGCAGTTTGCACATGGAGGCTGACTGCGTCGTGATCACTTACAGCAAGTCTCTTCACTTCCGTTTTCAGGAGTCTTTTGGGTAAATCCGTCGCAACGTTGTCCAGACACGAATTGCCTCGTGTAGGTTCCCACACCAAGCAATAAAGATTTAGGGATTTCAAAAGATTTAAAAAGTCTTCTGAGTGTTTCTCACCTTTTAAAATGTCTATATTAACATCACCACCCAGGACCAGATTATTTTTCGTTCTTCTATTTTCAAGGGATAGGACTAGTTTTTCAAGGCTGTCAAGGAACCACTCCAGATTTCCATCGGGTGAGCGATACACACCTGAATAATGAATAAATGAATAAATGAATAAATGATTTTATTTCCATCAAAAATTAACAATGTATGAACATTTGTAATATTGGAAATATAACTGACCACTTTAACAAGTTGTGTGGTCAGTAAAATAAATTATAATAATCTAAAAATAAACATTGAATCAGCCTAGCTCAACATAAAAAATGACACCTGCTCTCTGTGATGTTTGACAATCCTTTTCTTAATAAAGCTAAATACTTAAACTAAAAAATCAAAGAAAACAATACTTAATTTAAATTCAAATTAAAATTACATTTAGATGAGGTATTTTCATGGACAACATCAAGCATCATGCTATTTCCAAATTTTGTTTTTATCCCTACCCTCGCATTCCCAATCTAAATAATGAAATGTGCAACAAGGATGAGGCCAACCGATAACACTATCTACTACATTTGTAGGCGCACACACACACATTCGTTCACTCACTCACTCACTCACTCACTCTCTCACTCACTCTTTATTACCATTATCTGTCTTACTGCTATCTAACCAAGGGTCATGTTATAATCGGCTATGCTACAAACCCTCTCCGTGACCAACGGGCGGCTGGTAGCCCCGGGGTATCCTAGGGCCGTCAATGCACTGTCCCCGTGGTACATCTGGATTCGGATGCATAGCTAATTCACTCACACTACTCATTTATTTCACAGTTATACTTCTCATTCACACTTACACCTAAATGAGTACAGAGCTCATCTGACTAACATCGTCTTTCTCTAATAACCATCTAAAAGCCTGCTGAAAAAATGTTTTCTTTGAATTTAACTGCTTTATGTCTGTAGGTAATTGGTTGAAAAGTTTCGGACCTAGATACAACAATGACCTTCTAAATAATATTTTATTTACTTTTGGCAATTTAAAAATCCCTTGTGTAGTACTTCTCGTTCCATAATGTCTGTATTCGATGTTTTTATTGCCACTTCTTACGTAAAAAACCCTTAATACTTTATAAATAAATAAATGTTGTATAGGTAATAATTTTAATTCCTTGTAGAGTGGAGATGAACTCTCCCTAACATTTTTCTTCAGTATTATGCGTATAAAAAAGTTTTGAGTGACTCTCAACCGATCTATTAAATATTTGAAAGCACTTCCCCAACAGATTATGCCGTACTGTAATTTAGAGTTAATCAAGGCAAAATATAAAGTTCTCAAAAGTGAAGTATTGCAAAAATTTCGTAAATAGTAAAAGGTTCTCACTGTTGATCTGATTGTGTTATGGAGGTTGTTAATGTGTATATCCCAGTTCATTTTTTCGTCTAATATGACGCCAAGATATTTGAAACTAGCTACTTGTTCAATAGCTTGGCAATCGCATATAGTAGCATTGCAGTCATGCGCATGATATTTTATTGGAGATAAGAACTTAAAACCTGAAAAATCAAAGTTGATATATTTTGTTTTACTGACATTTATTTCCATGTGATTTTTTACACACCAGTTTCTCAGCAGCACCAAGTCGTGTGTAATGCTTTCATATATGACCTGCTCTCTTTGATGCGAGTAAAATAAAGCAACGTCGTCTGCAAAAGCATTGATCCTTCCTCTGAATGGTAATTCCAAAAGGTCGTTTATGAAAATTAAAAATAAAGTGCTTGACGTCACTGAACCTTGTGGAACACCCGATCTTACAATGTGGGGTTGGCTGACATTGTTTTTAATTCTTACCTGTTGGTTCCTCTGAGTTAAATAGCTTTCAAACCAATTTAAGGCCACACCTCTGATACCGGCAGCTTCTAATTTGTTTAATAGAATTGTGTGATTCACAAAATCAAAAGCTTTTTTAAAGTCTATAAACAGCCCTGTAGTCTTTAAATTTAAGTTGCAGTTGTTATAAATTTGTTCAGTAACTGTAATCAAAGCATCTTCTGTAGATTTACCTTTAATGAACCCAAATTGTCTGTTGCTAAAAAAGTTTAAATTATTTAAGAAATTTAACAAACGTATTTTACATATCTTTTCAAATATTTTAGAGAACACAGACAAAAGGCTTATTGGTCTTAGATTGTCAAGTTTCAAGTTATTACTTTTTTTCCATATTGGAACTACAATACTTGATTTCAATTTATGCGGAAAAACACCATTTACAAGACTTAAATTTATAACGTGGACTAAGGCAGGGGAAATTACATCTACACATCTTTTGACACAATCCACTGTTATGTTATCATAACCAGAGGATTTTTTGTTTTTTAGGCTAGTTATTACGGCAGTTACTTCTTCGACTGTAGTAGGTAATAAAAAAAATGATCGTGGTTGGATTTTAAGCGGCGGTAGAACACCAGATACGATTGTACCTATTCCTGTCATTTGTCCAGATTGTACAGAGATTAAGTAGTCGTTGATAACTTGAGCGACAACAGCTGGGTCAGAGATAAGCTTGTTATCATGTGA